ATGTATGTATGTATGTATGTATGTATGTATGTATGTATGTATGTATGTATGTATGTATGTATGTATGTATGTATGTATGTACGTATGTCTGTGTGTGTGTGGCAAACATATTCAGAACTCTTTCAAAATACTAGTCAATCTATCTAGTTTAATCACGGTTCAGTCTTCTATTCCATTGTTATTTTGATTAAATCTAGTCCTTTTCACCACCCTAATTTTCTGTGTTTTGTACAAATAGTATTTGAATTGCCCGTCCCCAAAGGAGTGCATTTGCGTACGCTTACATCAAACAGTGCAAAGTTATGCTGGGAGCCACCGGAACTGCCCCGTTTGGCCGGGTCGTTGGTTGGTTATGAATTGTTGTTCGGTTTGTCTGATCGACAACCGAATAACCTGAGCCCCGCAAATGCCACCGGAGTGATTCCTTTGCCCCAATCCATTTGCTGTTGCTTCACCATGCTCCATTTGAGCCCAGCTACAGACTATCGGGTTTGGCTTCGACTCACGCTCCAACCCAATCAAGACACCATCAGTTTGAGTGATCGAGAACAAACACAAACCTGGGTGACAAGCGCTTCGGAGCGCATTGTCGGCCCGGTATCCGAACCACAAGCGTTTCGTACACTGACTACAAGTTTGTTTGAACAGATTCTGCATGAGCATGATCTCTTTCTCTAGTCTGCGTGTTTGCACGTGTACCTGTTTTGCGCAATCGCATGGCAGAGCGCGATCCGTGGGTAGTCTCCTTTGAGTAGCCACATCAGGAATTGCAATGTAACTGTTGCACTTCAAAACTGTAAAGGCTTCTATTGTGATGTGCAAGTCTTTCTAGTTACTTACCGTTAAAATACGTCCAAGGGGTCTAGAATGAGGCATGTATCGAGGATGAGATCGTATTACAGCCAACGGCTAATCCAGATAAGATTACCGTAATAGAAGCATTCTTAGCACGGTGTTCTGAGTGCGAGGATAAGTCCACTGAACTGAAGTGCAGAGAAGAAAAGGCAGGCTTTGCGTGATTCGCTGAGCTCCGGACAGTTACCAAGCCCACAAGAGTAGGGGTGGGTTAGGGATTGAAGAATTCTGGCTTCCCCAGAAAGTAATGACTGGATGTCGTGACGAAATGCATGTGCTATGCACTCTGGATCTTTCGACCCATTCGAGAGATGTTTGACTGCACTGGCCGAACTTTGATTTCGAATCAACAACAAAGGGCTTCATCTTACTTTAAGAGTCGGCGAGTCTCAGCAAGATTTTTATTATTACACACCTAAGTGTGATGGACAGCAGACGGAGTAAACCCCATGGTCACGACGATCTGCTGCTCAGTGGTGGAAACCGGCAACCTAAGCCGCGGGACTTAAGGTGGCGAACCCCGTAAGGCCCCGATAGGTTAGGTGTGGTATTGAACCGGATGGCAGCAGAGCTGCCTACCAACAAAGTCGGGTGGCGGTGGCGGGGCTCGAACCTCGGACCTCGGGTCCAAAGCAAGCCGGTGACAGTGACTGAACCAGTGCGTCACCACCACCCAAAGTTAAAGTTAAAGCGAGCACAAATCCTTCGTTCCCTAAAATTCGGATAGACACTGAAAACGCAGGTCGTTTTTCGTGTATGCATCAGGATTTTTCTATTCCCTCTATGGGAATTTGTTGCAGTGTCTTCGGAGTAGAGGTATTATTTAACTGACTATATACTCACATTTCGCCCAGTGATGAAGAAACGTACTTACGCATCAGTGCGACGCATGAGATCGGAGGACTCGTCAGAAGTTTGAAGACAACGACTGTATTGAAACACGAGCAAACTGCAATGCTGAATAATTCTACACACTTGTTTCTGTGTCATTCCGGTCCAAGTGATGCGTTGTTTATTTGAATGGATAAACAACACGCTCCATTTCCCGGAAAAATGGTCTTCATTTTGACGAATCAATCCCCGGATTCTTCTATGTAGATGGACTGAAAGGAGAAGCCCCATTTATTAAAAAATCTACTAGTGGCATTCTGGTGCCCGGTCGTGTTCTACTTTGCAATAAGAACCGAGGTTATTTACAGCACTATTGGCAAATGAAGAAAAGCGCACCGTAATAAAAATTGCGATGCATGTTTACAACACTCATTACCGGTTTTCCGGTGTTTTAATTATCCTGCATACTTTCCTAAAGGACAAATAAAACAGCTAACCTGGACCTTAGAAGGCTTTTCAAAGCATGAAGTCAGCAATGCGGTGCTGTAGATGATGAGTTGCGGAAAGTCACTCGAATCATTGATTCAGACCATTTTATTCCTTTAAATTGATGGTATCATTTTGGTCAGATAGATATTCTCTTGTTCCCCAAACTCAACTGTTCAATCAAGTTTCGTTGAGAAATATTTGACGTGGTTTCACTGCACACTTTTCTGTACACTTGAGTTAGACATCAGCACGGTGTAAAGATGTTGTGCCAAACGCAATCTGACGCTCGTCGATGAATATAACTCACTTTTATTTAACACTTAAGGGGGAATGATTACAAAAGTATTCAACCACGAGGAATCACTATTCCTACCATAAATAATCTGCTGCCCAAACATACGTCATAGTGGTCAGTTGTGGATCAATCAGTGTCTCGGTAGCCATAAATGAAGATTTCAACAAACACATCGGTTGTTTCCTAAACTTCGCGTTAGATATGCTAACTTTCCGCTGGACCCTCACTGGTGCACGAAGGAGTTGTTTCACTTCGAAAATAGACAAACTCCATGGGAGGTAAAGTCATCCCTTTGTGTTGCGCCGAGCACCAACTTGTTCCACTTGATCGGAATGACATATCTTATCAAGTGGTTGTAATCCGGCGGTTACTGCGCGTTCCCTTGACCTACTTCAGTCCTCGGTGGGTTGAAGTCCTATTGTTCGAGCGTTTACCCAAATGGGAACATGACCGTGACAAGTGTTTCACTTGACACAGCCCAGTGGGTTGACCCCGTGATTTGATCATTCACTACACTGAACAGTTCACTCTAACCGACGGGCAGAAGCATCAACGCTCATCGTAGTCAGGCCTCTTGTTCGTCAAGTGAAGTGGGTTGGATACTGGTACACGTTGAAACACATTTATGTGTTTATGCTTTAAATCGGCCATGTCATGTACGCATAGCATGCGCCTTGTCCAATTGACGGCTTTAAAATTTTGCATGAAGTTAGTCCCCAATACTACTGCTATCAGTTTATAAAGAAAACCAAAAAATAGTACCTAATCTTGAAGAAAGATACGAATGTTTTTTATTTGCTATCAGCTCCTCTAACATTGCTTTTCTTATTGAGTTTAAAATTAAGCCAAAAATGAAATAGAGAGCGGTTTCCAGCTATTTCGATCAAACCTGTTTACTGCCGGCGTTTCCGTACAAAAAAGGCCAATCGAAATTTTGATTCAAAAACGGCCAAACGGCAACTGAAGCAGGAATTTTTCGTGGCACGCGAAAATGTTCTGAGAATCACAAGAGCAAAGCGACAGCACACGTCACGAATGGTCCTCAATTTATTTTAAACTTCGATCAAAGAACGATTGCATGCAAACGCATTCAGTTTTTCCTTAATTTCGTTCAAACTTTACCGCGCCGTTTATATATTTGCTCATTAATTGACTCACTTTCGGTGTATTCTCCCGAGAAGATCAATTACTTCCCACTGCCATATCACTATTCACTTGCTCAGTCAGGTACAACGGAACGTGATCCGGAATAGTGAAACGCCCAAAGTAAACCGAAGCACACGACCAGCTCACGTTTCATAAATGATAATGCAGGCATTAGTGGTTCGTCCCGTGCACATCCGAGAGTATTGCCCACGGGAAGCCGCTATCTTAGCTGTACTCGATGATGTATGAACAATTATGAAACTTATTCAACTGTCAAATAGCAACCGGTTAATCGATTGTATTCACACAACACACATACACACACGCATCAGCTTCCTGCATAATAAAAGCAGTCCGAATCACAACTTTATTGTTGAATGGTTTTCTTAATTACCATGAGAATGAAACAACCTTTTACAATCGTATTTCCCTTCTACTTATCTAATGTGCATAAAATACTAGAGTCCATTTTCCAGGATGGTGGCTGCATCCCAGCAGAAATAGCCAAAAAACACCCATCTTTACTATGTGGTAGTCCTCTGATTGGTCGCTTCCCCTTCCTGAGAAGTGTTTTTAAAGTCATTTTCTGTAAGAGGAATAAAAGTAAATACATTCGTGTGATGGTAACAACCAACATCCTTGCTCATAGAATGATGCCCCAAACCACGACCATCATTCATGATCTGAGAGTGATAATAGTGTAAAATACATTTAAGAAAGCAACTCAGATAGGATGATCAATTCGAACAATACTGATCACACTTGACGACCTTTTTCTCGTGTATATCTGTTTTTGGTACGCTCGATTGATCAGAGCTCTTGGACTCCAATATTATACCAAGTGTTACATTTTTCCTATTAGCTACAATCCATTTTCGAAAACTAAGCACAATTCCTGCTGATTGCTGGATCTCATATTAGGTTGGCTCAGGAATCCCAAGAAACTACCGTAAATTTTACCCTGTAGATTCGACGGATTCGCGGACAACAAACCTTTATTTCGTGAGAAATTTCGTCGTGAACAATAAACCAAAGAGCTAAGAAGCACCATAACCAACTTACACAGATGGGTTGTGCTATATCACGTATTGACACGGGATTAAAATACTCGAGTGATCAAGTGAGCAGTAGGCTTGATTTCTACTTATCAGGTCACGGTTTCAATCCTCAGTTGGGTGGAGCGATTCTAACTGCTACTATTAATAATCATTCTAATATTGAAACTGCTACTATTAATACCATCACCACCGCTAAGATCCAATAATAATGATTCCCAGTTAATCAATACAACTGTATATCCAGTCGAATTGTGTTAAATCATCCTCCAGTGGCTAGTTTGGATAGTTAAGGGTATCACATAAAGTTTTGGTTCTCCTTCTCCTGCACAATCAATTAGCTAACGGTGATTTTTAATCTGATTATTCATAGCTGGGAAAGTCAACCTGATCGATCATCGTACCTGAACTAATTGCCCGGAGTGATGATTTCCATCTCAAGTGTCTGTTTCGGTGTTGGAAGAGGGACGGCTCGAGTCCGTATGGCCGGTGAGGGGGAGGGGATGCCTTGAGTACTCCGGAAATATTTTAGTATTCTTAGCAGTCGAGTGTGACCGATAAAGAAACATGCATACTTGTCAAACAATGGCTATCATAATTATTATTCAGAGTCTCGGTGAGTTACTGAGTTGGAATGCGATCCGCCGGACGGATATCGTGTGATTATCCATCAACCCTTCATATTCAGCCGCCCCACTCTGTCTGTCATTGTGCATTCGAAAACTATCATGAGCAACAATGGCATACGGAAGGCGCATAAGTAACCCGAGTTGCCAAGACGAGCGTCGCGATATATGTACAGATGTCAGCAAATGTACATCCGAATATGAAACACATCCTCCCCGTGCATTGTTTTCCAAGCTTCAAAACCGGGTTTGGGTTCCCAAAACTGCCAAGGTGTTGAACAAATCTCAGTTGGTAGTTCATATTCCTAGTGATGTATGTGTCGACAGCGTGATTCTTCCTCAATGAAATGCCTGGCGTTTCCCGATCTGGTAGCATAGCAACTTCGGGGTTGACAAGGACACATAGACAAACATCTGAAGAACTTTTGTTTACGGAGGTGGTCAGGTGATTCATCATAGCCTTACCCGGTTCGGTTTACGAGATACTGGTATGAACACAGGAGTTCCTGGACGGAGCAGTCTTCAGGCATAAGTCAAATTTTACGGTTTAAGTCTTTTTTGAAGTTGGTTTCAGACTAAGATGGTTTCACTCTGATTGCCTTTTTTAAATTTTTCCTTCTCTGAAACTGACAAACCGAATTCAGAATACATGAAATGAAATCATTTCAAACAGCAAACACGAGTATCTGAGCTAAATGTAGAAATAGCTCTGTCCACTGAAGTAAATTTAAATAAGCAATATTGTAGGTTTACACATAATTGTGCTTTTGGATGCATTAACGTGAAGGTATGCTGCGTAAAGCATGTCTGCAATTCGCATGAAGCTTGATATACAAAACATAATTTAAGGTGAGGACGTTTTCTACGTAACATCTATTTGCTGTTCATTCCATTGTACACTTCCTTCAGTCCCGGACATGCCACAAGGTAGAAAAATATTGGTTCTGGGACCACATACCATTCAGATCACTTGGAATGGACCAAAGAAGCGACAGTCTGAAGTGCGGCACTACAAACTGACATGGAAGTGTCTCGATTGTCCCCCCACGGAAGCCACAGAAACTGGCTCCAGTGTCGATACCCAAGCGTTATCACGTGATACGTCACGGCAAGGTCAGCGCAAGGTGTTGGCCAATGAAGGCGATCCACCAAGTCAGTTGTACACAGCCACCGTGGGAGATTTACTACCCGACTCGTCGTATCAAGTCACTTTGGCAGCCGCAAATAGTCGAGGCATTGGACAGGAGTTCCTCTACCCAGTTATACGAACTAGACACCCGGGTAAGTAAATTAGATGGGCTAATGGATTGCACAATGATTTTCGGACAGATGGAAGATGCTTTTGAGGTATAGCGTATAAAACTGACATTTTAAATTAAAAATCTATTTTTATTGCCTCCGTATAATTGACAACCTTTTCTTATAGAACTGATTTTTCGACAGATAAATGACTGCACAGTAGTCCTTATCGAGTCCCACACAGAGAGAGTGTACCTAAATGTTAAGTTGAACGGTTGACTTCCGGAAGACTTTGACTGTATTTACTCAGGTGTGTTTAGAAAAAATATCGGATATTTTAAACTTCATAAGGAAAGACTACAAATTAGTAGTGGTAGTTATTTCAATGAGCACTTGATAGTTACCCCAATGCAATGATCAAAAACAAGCTGTAGCAAAACTAAAATAACTTTATATTTCCTATCCGGGAAGTTATTTATCCGGATAGATAAAATATTTATCCGGGAAATTTGATTCAGTAAATAAATAAACATTTAAAGGAGCGCCCATTCCTCAGTTGATTGCTTTTCAAGGGTGCTAAAGTTGGCGCATGACTCTTTAAATCAGTTACCGTGCAGCAATGCTTTGCCTCTGAACAAGTTACCAGTTGCTCGTATAAGCATTTCAGTCATTCGACGTAAACATCCGCTTCCAGTGCGTGTATACGAAATCAAATTACATCTAATGATAGATGCTAGGCCGCTCAAGTTGACAGAATGGATCAGAATGGTTGACCGTATCTTCACCGTGTTGGTGCACATGAAGACAGCTGGCAGACAAGTAAGCAAGATCAATGTTCAGTAAAATGTGGTCAATTTCTTTTCTCCACAGCATACCGATTGATCGAGACCAGGCAAAAGGTTGACAACGCAACTATGTTTCAACTCAAGGAAACGACTATCTCTGACACCAGTAACTAAGTTTTTGAAAACAAGATTAAGCTTTTATTTGATTACCTTTACCACGTGAGCAGACGATTGATCATTACAGGTAGCTTGCAAGAGTTGTTTGTTTCAGTACGCACCTGGAGAATCTGGGCGAAATTGCCCGGCAATAGGTCATCCAAAGCACCAATTATATGAGTTCTAGGGTTGTCAAACTCATTGCATTTATAATCGTTTTGGACCACTGAATATGTGCTCCAACTCCAAACGAAGTGTGTAAGTAGTTATAAAATACTAAACTGAGCACTAATAGAAAAACGAGAGAAGCATTCTTCGGAATGAACAAACAAATCAATAGGCAAACATATCGAGGGAAATTCATTTTTTATTCCCTCATCGGTCGCATAGGTATAACCTTAAGAAAAATATATAAAAACGACGTGAATTAAGCAATCTGATTAGGTTTAGTCGTCTGTGTGTGTATGTGTGTGTAGTTGCACAGGTCTAGTTACGGCCAGAGTGGGCCAAGGGTAAAGGTCATACACTTTTGGACGCACAGGCCACTTGGTTAAAAGCGGCTATAACGTAGAACCTGCAAAGGCGTTATCCATTTTGTTGCATCATCGCAACAAACATCGACTAGGGATACTCGTGGCATTATTGATCACTCACAACAGTCCCACCTTGTGTGTTGAAAAGCGTATAACCTTTACTCTTGACCTACCCGTGGCTGTAATTAGTCATGTGCAACTATGCACACATACATATATACGAAAACACGCGCAAACACACATTGGATAAAACTCAACTAGATTTCTTAATTCACATCCTGTTTAATGTTATGCGTAAGTGACCGATGAGAGTATACGAAATGACTTCCCGTACCAGTGTTTGCCTACTGATCTGTTTGATCATCTTCGTAGTAAACAACTGAAAGAAATTGATTCTCTACGAATGCTGCCAGACACGGGCTCATGTCCCAGTTAATGTTTACCTGATTTATTCTTAAAATGCTGTTCAGATTTCATTAAATATTTGCAAACGACAAACCTATCTCCTATATTAATCCAAACAGAGGTGCTTTATGTGAATATATTGAAACTATTTGTTCGTCCATTACAAAATTAAACAAGTTAGTCTTGTCTGCTCATTGAACTCTCCACCCAAATCTATGAATGGTCTTAACTGTATTTATCTGCTCCCAAGAGGAGTTATTGCTTCACCATTGATTCGCCCAATGCTGTATCGATCAGAGAGATTCAGGGTGATGAATATCAGTGATGCGATGGAATGAAACAAAAAATCTCACTCATTGCCTTGGACAACTTACCCTTAAAACCCCACTTTTAAACTCCGTGTTTTGCTATTCCCGTATCCGAGTGAGAACCAACACAGTGATTAATCGAACAGGTTTCTATGCCTCCCACGGGCGAACTGAAACATCAAACGTGCACAGAACAATGTGAATGAGGTTGATGAGGTTGAATGAGTCAGTCAGCTTGAGTCTGTTATGAAAAAACAACGTTCTGATCAAATTTTATTAGATTTGACGCAACTAGTTCTTCTGAATGGTTATTTCGTCGCGGTGGGTTGAATCTAAACGAATAACTGTTGCCAGTCACACTTGGAATTTTCAAAAGAAGGATTGTGCTGAATAGATAGATGTTGGATGAAACAACACAAACGATTACTAGACGAAAATGTCTGAAATGCTTGAGAAGGCTGGTATCGTACTTGAACTAATTTGTTTTTGTGTTATAGTTCGTTCGGTCACACGGGGCTAGTAAATTTCACAACAAAAATGGGCTGTTCGAATTAGCGCTGATCGCTAAGAAAAAACGCGTAGAATGAAACAAAAATGATCTATTTATCAAATGAGGTTCCCACGAAATTAGCCTTTCTTTGCATGAATACAAACGAGCACTAAAATGACACTGGGGAATCACGGTAAATCTTTAAGTGATGGTGAATCAGTGAACGTTTGAAATGATGCTGGCGGTTGTAAATGACATAGAAATAAATTCTGATCGAATGAATGTGTTGTCTGTAAACTTTACAGACGCATCGATGCGATGCAGGAATCAAGGAATCAAAAAGAACACGAGAAACACGACATAGGTAAACCAAACTGCAGCTTGGCATCCGGCAGTCTTTCTTGAGCAAACCAGGGAACATGGCTGGGTCAGGAGAGGGCACTTAAGTAAAATGGGTGGAATTTGTTGATGTACGGACGAAGCAACACTGATTTCTTTATTTACAAACTGTCTTACCCTGAAAATGTGGGAAGACACTCACTTTTGGCGAAAATCAGAATGTCTGAAAACCAAGGCAAGTGCCCACCTATCGTGACACCCAGTTACTTTGCCTGAAAGGCAGACAGAGTTAATGATTGCGCAAACACAATTGTAATGAGATGATGGAAGGGTGAAATGCATCATTAACACTTAGATGTATCAAAATGGAGATGGATAAGTGTGAATTCCGAATGAATTATGGGAGAAGCAAGCGGTTATTTTGAGTGGAGATTGCGTGACAGTGTAACAGATGGCGAGTATATTCGAGGAGTTTAGGAGGAGAACGAAGCGCTAACTCATTAATGCATGTAGTGAAACAGCGAGGAGACAGAAGTTTTTACCAATTATGGTCTGCTACGTTCAATTGAAGAACCGGCCTTTTGACCGTATGAGCAACGACAAGGTACATTTCAGAAGTAGACATCGAAGCACCGAGCAGGACTGCAGAACCTATTTGTGTTCAACCTACTTGGTTTACCACCCCTACCCACACACCCCGAAATATCCAGTGAAACTGCCGTATCCACTCCCGTACAATTAGTTGTACTGACAATTTCCAGGAGAGCTATCATGTTAATCGGTTGGTCTATGAACCGGACTAACTGCAACCTGTGATACAAAGAAAAATGTTTCAGAAAGCTATTCACAGCGCCCATCCTTCTCGAGAGTAATCGAAGCGAATCCCCAACTGTATAGTCTGCACTGAGTTCACTAGATTTTAACCGCCTGTTTAGTTCTACTCACGATATCTACGTGACCATACATAACGCAGTTTGCCTGATCAAGTCCTGTGTGGGTGAAGGTTCCTCAGACGGTGTATTTTTACCTTGAATCGAACTTGACTCCTGTGCTGGACACTGCAATTTCTTGCGAATTATTACAAGAAAACTCAAACCACGGTTTTCATTTTATTTCTGACTATCTTCACTCACTCAAAATATCAAAACCTGAAAATATGGGAGCTAACTAGCGTTTTTTGTTCCGGGATCGGCACAATCGATCAGGCGTATATTTATAGCGGTCTACCACAGATTCTAGTTAAACAAACCCTGGATTTCACAGACAGGGTCAAAATGTCCCAGCAGTCGGAGGAACTTTTTCTAAACAAAATATGACTGGATGCAGATCGATGTATTTTCATTTTACTTCAGGTTACGCTTGTAAATGCACCGCTGCTTAATATTTTGAGGCTGATAACAATGGTGGTGCGCTTTCTGACACTGAAATAAAACGACTTCACAAGCAGTTGTCTGGATAAGCACGATAAGAAATTGCTTAAAATGAGAGAGAGAAATTGTAAATTTCAGCTTACCCACTTCTAGAAAAGTATTCCAGATCCAGAATTCATATTAAAAAACTGAGAACAGAAAACAATTTATAAATAAGTAATGTCAAAACATACCTGCCATAGGTTACTAAGAATAAGTAATAGCTACTTTATTCTGAGACGGCTCAGACGGGCCACACTGGCAGCGCTACCCATGTCAACACACACAAAACTTCACGGATAATCCAGCAATCCAAATCGTATACTGGAACAGCATATTGTCTTTCCAAAGCTCCAACTGTACTGAACAACCCCCCTACCCTCGTCGACTTTCCGCGATGGACATCAGTATAGTGCTCGTGCAATAAACTGATCATATCTCCGAGCGATTTGCTCGACCGATGAACTGGAACAAACACGAAACTGAACCCTCGTCGGTGAGAAAGCAACACCTCATATAATTGTTGCAAAGTACAGCAAAAGCACTAAGTAGGATACTCTTTTTCACTATCCTATTAATGTGACTCGATTTTCGAGTGAACTTGAGGCACAAAAATA